AGTGTCTTCTCTTTGTTTCTCTTTGGTCCTTTTTGTTACATGTACATGTCGTTTACAAAACTGTTCTCACTAGAGATATAATTTAGTCCTCCGATTTTGTGTGCTTAACATCATAGAGTGAGTTTTTTCCACTTTTAAATTCTGCTGTATCACTGTCTTTACTATCATTTATAGATTTTTGTCTTTGAGTTAAAGTATCATAATTAACACTTCTACTCTTGAACAGTCTGATCCTATTGTAAATAGTTTCTTTTGAGTGCATTTGAAGAACTTCTTAAAAAGTCAGTGTTGGTATCACAAGTGGAATCTAAAAAATACAACAAGCTAGTGAGTATAACGAAAAAGAAACAGACTCACAGATAGAGAGAACAAGCTGGTGGTTACTGGTGGGGAGAGGGAAGGGGGAGGGGCATTATCGGGGTGGAGGACTAAGGTATCAAATAAGCTACAAGGATATATTGAACAACACAGGGAATAGAGCCAATATTTTCTAATAATTACAAATGGAGTATAGTCTTTAAAAATTGTGAATCATATTGTGCACTTGTAACTTACATAATATTGCACATCAACTATACTTTAAGAAAAAAAGAATCTAATTAAGAAGTCAGTATTTTATGCAAATATCTTTGTAAAAACTTTCTGCCAGCTTGGAAGCTGTTATTAGTTTATCCTCTCATTGCTGATTAATGTTACCATCTTCTCGGCTCCGTTTGGTTTTCTACTTAAACTGTGCCATTTCTCCTGCTCGTCGTATTCCCTGGAAATCTGAGTAGTGATAGGAGTTGAGTCTGTCTTTTTAATTATTTGCTCTTAAAAGTTGTCTTTCTTTTGAAGACTCAGTAAAGAAAATAGCCTGATGGAAAAAAATCTCAAGTAGCAGAAAAACATTTTCATGAAGTGTGCATAGGACAACCCACGAGACTGTTTTTTCAGGATGGCATAAGGGGTGTGGTTTAGGAGTGGGGACCAGGGAAGAAGATGATGGAGTGCGGTGTGAAAAAACAATAAAAACCCAAAAAACAAAACCTAGACAGAGACCAAGAAGATTTGCACATGGAAGGGAATGTGTCAAAAAATATCAGAGGTTGATGTTTCAGGAAGGCAGTGCCTGGTGAGTTACCACATGATTGGAGGTCAGAAGATGGCCCGTTGTGATGCCTGAGTTCTCTGACCGCCGCCTGGCTACTCTTCCAGGACTGCCTCACGCCCCTGTCTGTGGCAGTGTTTCTGCTCCCTTGTCAGAGTCTCTGCACGGAGGAGTCTGATGTCGGTTCCCAGCCCCACCTGGGGGACACTGTCTTGTCCTTCTAAGCAATACCTCATAGACTGGCTTTTAGACTTTCAAAGAAGTCTTAAGCTCAGTTACCCCTTATATACTGTTTATTCTAAATCTTCCCTCTCATGTGCTGTGAGTGAGGTAGCAGTCACGCGATTTGCAGGTGCCACTTGGAATGGTGGTCTTGGCTTGGTAGATTTTGGAATATAGTAGCTCTTACTTGCTACCACTGGGATTTAAAGATCTTCCTGAGCTTAACCAAGTAATTTTTATACTCATACCTCTTACTGCGTTCTCTCAGCCTTTCAAGGGTAAAATTATGGAGTGTGCAGTACCCCTTTCTTGGGGGGGTTTTAGGTCAAGTCACAGGAGGCATTTGCGCCTCCTCTCCCACTCATGTGTTTGCTGGGCTCGGGGACCTCCAAGCTGGAACTCTTTGGGTGGCTAGCTCTGAATCCTATGCCAGATGTTCTGCTCTGTGTCACGTGCTAATGCTTTTCTGAAATCTGCTTGATGCTGTTTGGAAAGATGCTTAGTTCTTGCACCACAGTGCTGGTGTGATGCCATCTGTAGCTTGGAGTACATATGTAAGTGTTCTCTGAAGCAGGGGCAGGAAGAGACTTGCCTGATTTGACTGTGATGTCCTGGGCCCCGGGGCGCTTGGCTTTGGTGGTAGGAACAGGCATGACTCACAGCCTTGAGGCAGAGAATGGAGGCAAACAGTTGCCTCTTTCTGCCAGACCATTCCTGCCCTGAGCCTGAGGAGCTCTGAAGGAGATCCTTTCACTGTCACAGCGTGGGGCTTTCTGATTGCCTTTTTATTTTTTTAATTGAAGTATAGTTGATTTGTATTAGTTTCTGGTGTACAGCATAGTAATTCAATTACACATTTATATATTCTTTTTCATATCCTTTTTCATTATAGGTTATTACAAGCTATTGAATAAAGTTATAGTTCCCTATGCTGTACAGTGGGACCTTGCTGTTTATCTATGTTGTTCAGAGTAGTTTGTATCTGCTAATCCCAAACTCCTAATTTATCCCAGCCCTTCTCCCTTTTCCCCTTTGGTAACCATAAGCTTGAAAGAATGAAATAATGCCGTTTGCAACAACATGGATGGACCTAGAGATGACCATAGTAAGTGAATTAAGTCAGAGAAAGACTAATATCATATGATATCGCTTATAAATCATCTAAAAAAAGACACTAACTTACAAAACAGAAACAGACTCACTACCTGCCTATTGACACTGCTTCCCTTGGGCAGCGGCCCCCGCCAGCCCTGCACACCGAGCACACCCCCAGAAGCCCAAGAGGGAGGGAGTTAGCTCCCCACCCAACTCATGAGCCACAGACCCCTGGGCCTGCTGTGGCCCGGTCCCCCGCCAAGTGCTGATGTCTCGGCTCTCATCTGTTTCTTCTACATATTAACCTGTCTGGTCTCCAGAAAGTGAGAGTGTGAAGACCCATGTGGTTAGACAGGCAAACCAGGACCAAACAGAATGAGCACAGAGGCAGGGCCACGTGAGCCACAGACAGATTATGGACACATTTGAGGGCAAAATATTTCTCGTCTGCAGCCCTTTGCAGGACACAGGGTGGGAATGGGCCAGCTACAAGCATCTCTTGGGACTGCCTGTGGAAACACCTACTCAGATATGGTCTCTGACTCACTGAGTGTGTTTGGATTCCCCAGGGAACCTTCCCTATCGGGCCACAGCCCAAGTCCATTTTTTACTGGTCTGGAGTGGTCTGAACCACTGGTCTGGGTATAGAGCTCACAGGACTTAGCCTTGTCCCCTGATCCTTAAGTAGGTCAAGGCATTCCCCGGCTTCATCTTTTTAAAATAATTAATTGATTTTTAGTTGAAGTATAGTTAGTTTACAATGTTATATCAATTTCTGGTGTACCTGCTGCATCTTTGAAAGCTGCACAGTGGGCTGTCTGAGCCCAGGGCCCAGAAGAGCAGACCAGGAATACAGGGCTGGACCAGCACCCTCCTCACTGTGGCCAGTGCAGACCATCTTGGTGACAAGAACTTTTTCATGGAGAGGGTTCCCTATGGTCTGCTGATGCATTTGATGTCCCTGCTGCCTTTTTCCTAAGGTGGCCTCTGTGGGTTCTCTGGGGCCTGGTAAGTTCCTACACACAAACTGCTCTGCCTCCGACCACTGACACTTCTCCAGAGGGTGATGACTTCAGGGATGAAGCTGATGCTGTTCAGTGGATAAGAGGTTTTACACAGAGCTGGCAGCCACAAGGAGCTCTTCGCAGAGACTGGCCTTTTACAGATGCAGTCAATGTGAGGGACAGAAACAGTGTTGAGAGCCAAAAAGAAGATGGACTGGGGAAGCCGAGGTGAGAGGAAGAAAGAGTGCAAATCCCCTTGTGAGGACACAGCCCAGCTTTGGGGACCTTGAGGAGGAACACTGGGCTCCACCTCAGTGGAGCTCAGTCCTCCGACCTGACCCTAGCTCCAGGTGTCAGGCAGCCACGTTGTTTTGACTGCCTCTGAGGTGAGGTGTGGGGAGTGATGGATCTAGAGGATTCGGAGTCCATGGACACAACTTTCTGCAGGTTCGCCACGTGCTGTTGATCTGGGAAAGTCAGTGAACCTGTGTTCTTATTTACAGAGAACAGGAATGACAGTGTGGACTCTGCATTGCCCACCTCTTAGAGTTGTAGTTCCGCTCTTCCAGTTCTGTTAAAACTGGACAACCTTACAATGGCCAGGGCGGTTCAGGGCCCAGTTCCTGCCCTTGAGTTGAGTGGAGGAATGGTGCTCCCAGGTGTGTGACCTCAGCCAAGCGTCGTCGGCACCCAGCTCCCACATTCCCCAAGAGCACTTGTCAGGAGGCATTTCTACCTCAAAAAGAATATTGAGCGGAACTATGCACAGACGTGAGCCTGTGGTGGAAGCACAGATCTGTCTGAGGGGACAGGATGCTTGAGTCATGAGTGAAAAAACTGATTTATGCCAGTTACTCCCTGACACTCCCCCGGGAGCTTTATGAGGCAGAGAGAACTGCTTTCCGCCAGTCCATCTCACCTGATGTTCAACCTCCGGACCACAGTGTGAAGTAGGTGCCTTACCCCTTTTCACAGATAAGGGGACGGAGGTTCAGAGAGATGATTTAGTTAGTGGGGACTGAGTCTGGACCCAAACCCAGGTTGACCACGAGCCCCTCTCTCTGCACAGTGTTCTTCATGAAAGGCTTCCCGGCAAGGTCTAGGCTTCTTACTTCAAAGGGCAAAGGGACACATTTTTCCTTTTAAGTGTTTCCGTGGCCCGCTCGTTCATTCTGGTTTCAGGTTGCCAGCCTAGCTCCAGTCCTCCGTCATTGGTCAGTAACTCCTGGAGTCAGGTTCCACACTTAAAGATGGAGGTAATTGCTTCAAGATGTGGTCCTTTAAGGAGAGCACAGTTACAAGTCAGTCTCTTTTTATCAGCTCCCACCAGAGACTGAGCTTTAGAAAAAGGAAATGATGGTTTGCTCTGACATGTAAGCTTTTTTTCAGTCTCTAAGAAAGGAGATGTGGTTGTCGTTCTGGAAGAGATTACGGGTAGTGGTGAAGTGAGAGATCATTTTGTTCATGGGTTTTTTTCCCCCTAAACTCTCTTTAGCCAGTTTCATGGTCTTTCATAGTAAGAAAAACAAACCTGCCTGCCACAGCACCCCCTCCTTGTCCCCTGCCCTCTCTCATTTACACAGGCAACCTTGAGACAATCAGGTGAGCAGACGCTACTGCAACTTATGAAACCTTTGCCCCTAATCTCCAGCCCCATGCCTCCCCACACCTCACACCCACCCCCCAGGATAGTAGCTGTGTGATTCCAAGAGATCCCAGCAGGATGCCACCTTGCGAGTCTGCACAGCTGCCAAGCCTTCCTTGCCTTCATGCTGTAAACAAATAGGCTGGATGCAGAGATGATGCCAGTCTCGGGGAACAGAGCTAAGGGGCTAAGAATGTCTTTCTTAAGGGGTAATCAGGATAAAAGTAGCCAGCAAAGGAGATAGAAAACTGAAAAGAAAGGTCAGGAAATCGAAAAGAAAGGATGGAGGTGGTAAGGAGTGGCTTCTCCTGAAGAGAGATGAAGGGTGAGTTGATCGGGAGCTGAGAAGTGTCAGTTGCAGCTTAAAGTTTGGACATCAGTCCCCAGAACCAGAACTGTTTCTGTGTTCTGCCTGGAGAATTCAGAAGCTGGGTGGCAGGTGTTTTCTTGAGAAGTGATGGGAAGATGAGAAAGAAGAGGCAGCAGGAGTAGATTATTCTTTTCAAAGCCTGGCTGTGACGGGGAGGGGGAGGGGAGGAGAGACAGCGTTCCCACGCAGGCTGCACGTGGGTGCGTTGTCCTAGTACAGCCCGTGAGAGCTGATGGTGGTGGTCCCTCGAGGGGAAGGAAGGTCAGGAGGGAAGGTTCTTTCGAAAGTCAGAAATCTGATCGTGTTTATAGCCCGAGGAGCAGCAGCTGATGGTGAGGGCGAGATTAAATGCCTGTCAGAGTGGATGATTAATGGCCCTACCCTAGAGCCCCGCAGCCTTGGTGGGAACTTCCTCAAAGGCGGGACAGGGGTGAGGGAGAGCCCAGGTCCCTGTGAGTAGGCGTCCTGCGTCACCAGCTAGAGGGAGAAACAGCAGCAGAACTCAGAGCACAAAGCCAAACATGACTGGTTAACCAGGGAGGTCACCTGAATCTCCGTTCGAGAGCTGTGAGGATGGCTTGGAGAACTGGGCAGCGACAGGAAGGTGGGTCAGATGGCACTTCAGGAGCAATGTCTGGAATCTTTGTGTCCTTTAACATGTGCTTTTTGCACGTAACCTGGAAACTTACTGGGCTAGGGGACAGTTTTAAAGGTAGAGGAACCTGGCAGAGACATGGGCTGTGCGCAGTGGTGTCTGACTAACCTCGGAAGGAGGTGTGGGCTTGCTTTCTCTAAGACACGGGCTCAAGAGAGAAATGAGAGACGATGCCGGGAACCTTTGTAATAGAAAGGATGTAATTTCAGTGAATGGCCAGATGATCTTTAAAATCTTTTCAGTAAACATGAGGAGAGGTTATTTGAGGAGAAGAGTGGGGGATAGGGTGGGGTTTAGGGCTTGAGGAGAATGGAAGAGATTTGGAACAATCTCTGAAAGGAACCAGCCAGAGATAAATACAAGTTTGGAAGATCAGCTGTAATTAGATAGTGTAAACTTGTTTGGAAACTCGTTGGCATCATTGAGTGACTTTTACCAGCAATTCTTAAGGCCCCGGGGAGTGGAAGCATAGACAGAAGACTTTGAAGTTTGGGGCATGGACGGGGCTCTGGTAAGGCAAACACACTGCAGAGCTAGGAGCAGGGATGATTAGCTGAATTTTTCTGGTGCAGAAATGATACAATTGAAATGACGCACCTCAAGGTAGAGACAGATGAGGAAGCAAATATTGCTTAAAGGAAGTTGATAAACTAGGAACATAGGGAGTTATTAAGTAACTAGTAGCCACAGAAGAAATGAAACATTATTTGCGAGAGTGAATGGGCCAGTTGAAAGGTCAGAAGATTGTGGCCAGAGGAGAGAATTCCAGAGTTGAAGATTTGAGAAGCAGAGCGGATACATTCTGGATCAAGATGAGGGCCAGGCTGTGCCCATTCCAGCTGAGGAGCTGAAATGAAGTGGCAGCAAAGCCTGTTGGTGTCAAGGTCAAGAAATGTGAAGCCAGAGTGAGTATTGAATGGAAGGCTGATTAACAAGGATGTTGAAGCTACTGAGGAGGTGGAACGTGCCCAAAGCAGGCAGAGAAACTGTTGATCAAAAGTCAGACATCTCTAGGGAAATGGGAGACTGTCTCGAGGTTGTATATTTGGAGAGAATGTGACATAACTGAATGGCGCTGCCTTAGAGGAGGGAGGGCATACGGAGGTGATCTGGAAGCAGTCTTGTAACAGGGAGAAAAGTGTTCTGTAAGTTGGGTCACTGGAGCAGAATGGTCTCTCCTCGTGATGCCTGGGAAGAACGTGTCATATCATGCAAAAGTCAGGATTCAGTTCAAGCTGGAAGCAGAAAGAGCAGTTGAGAATGTAGAGTATTTTAAATCCTCTTAGAACAGCTATGATAGAGGTCACTGTATGTAACAGTGGCTGGAGGCCATGCCGGGCCTGGAGATGGGGAAGGGGAGCTGGACCGGGTAAGGCTGTCAAAGGCTGACTTTGAGTTCAGGGAGACAAGGAGCAGGGGTGATGATCGTGTAAGATGGAGGCACATGCTAATAGATACAGGTGAGGGGAGAGTAAGTGCAAGTTTTGTTACCAGTGGACTGTGTGAAATAAAGCAGCCCCAGGTTTCTAATTCAGGCTTTGGTGTGTCCAGTTGAAATGTCCACTTGGAATGTTAGTGTGACCAGTTGGAACCCTGGCGTGATCAGTGGAATACAGCCAATTAGAGTATTATCCTCATCAACTGGAACAGTGGTGTGACCAGTTACAACCGGGCAGCCGAAACAGCCAGAGGGATTTTGGTGATAACGGAAGTAGAGTAGACTCAGCTTTCAAGAGAGATGCATTTTGAGACTTTTTTTGAATCCCGCCAAGGCAGTTTCTTGAATGCTTGAATCAAGGGATGGCTGGGAAACTCACATACACATTGTAAATCTATCTCTAGCTACGAATGGAACTTGAGGATATGAATTTTATACCAACGATTACTCTGGCTTCAACTTCTTTTCTTACCTGCTTTAATTTCTACAGTGTATTTTTAAAATTTGAATTGTCTGTTTTGCAAACTGCATTAAATCATTTTTGAAACAAAGCAGGTAGATGAGAGGATGGAGAGGGAGACAAAGAATGGGGTGGTGGAAGCAGAGAGGAGGGTGGGGACGAGGGAGAAGGAGATGGGGGTGAGTCGGCGGTGTTGGGGAGGATTACATCTTAAGATGCGCAAGACCAAGAGATCCCATCTTCTTCTCTCAGGGAAGAACCCTTCAGGGACTTTTATGGCCTGCAGAGGCCTAGCACCAAGCCCTAGATGGTAGGTCCTGAGCCAAATCTTGATCAGTTGAGTGGCTGGTTCCTGGCCTCAGTGAATATTTGTTGATTGGCTTTTTTCAGCAAGTATTTTTTTTATTTCCCTTGAAGTTCTTGGACTTCTTCCTCTGTTTGGGAAACAATGTGACACGTTAGACAGAAATGAGTTTTGGAGCCAAACAGACTTTGGTTTGAAACCTAACTCTCATGTTGATCATCCTGTGCCCTTGGCCAAGGCAGGCCAGTCTCTGGGTCTGTTTCTTCATCTGTAACATCAGGATAATAATACTTACTGCCAAGTCACTGGGAGGGTTTAATAAGGGGATGTATGTAAAATATGCGACAGTGTCTGGCACAGAGGTGACACTCAGTGAATCTATGCCCACTCGCCCCCAACACTGGACACACTTATCTGGCTAACTCCTCACGACCAAGTAGCCCACAGTTCTGGCCTGGCAGTGCTGCCGCCTTTGCCCTAGAAGCCAGCTTCAGGTCTGGCTGGTCCAGGAAGAGCTGGGTTCCTCAGCCCAGTAGTAGGCTCATTGTGCTGAATTCTTTGGCTTCTAGATACTCATTCCCTCAGGCTGGCAGATGGACAGTTTGTCACCTGGCTTTCTGAGGTACTGACGGCCTTTGGCCTAGGGAGATGTGGTGCAGACTGGGCTGAGTATTGACTGAGCCTGGGAAGTGATATAGAAACTTTGGTTTCGAAAAATACATTGTTAACATAAACTTGTCTGTGGGGAGGGTATAGCAGTGGTAGAGTGTACGCTTTGCATGCATAAGATTCTGGGTTTAATCCTCAGTACCTCCATTAAAATGAATAAATAAATAAACCTAATTACCTCCCCAGAAAAAAAACTAAAAAAAAATGCACTTTGTTTTGGTGGAGAGGGTCTGCTGTTGCTTTGCC